ATTTACAGACTACCCTTGTTCTTCTGTCACCAACAATTGAGTGCATGTGCCAATAGCAGATGTAATGAAAGATGGGCATTCCGATGCAATGCTTATGTTAATGTCTCATCCAGGAGATTGCTTAAATGTGTGCAAAAAAGATTTCAATCACTTTTTGAAGCAAGTTGCCACAAATTACTGGTGGAATAAGAAATGCTTTACTCATCCCAGACTTGATGGAATAAAACCAGCCCCCCTTGAATAAAGGTGGCCATGCTTTTTTATAGAATAGCATATACAATAGTTAGATGCTATTATGCAGAAATCTTTAAGGAAACCACCCAAAAGAATTGCCAGATGTGTTCAACAGACAGACTACTACCTTGTTTTTTATTAGTAGATCACCTCTTTGAAGTAGCTAACATACACATATTTCTTGGTTTAGTTGCATATAGCTGGCAGAATAGCTGACAATCACAATATATGTTTATAAGAGGTTTCTAGAATAAGAATATTCACAAGTCCAGTTGGCATGAAAGCTAAACCAAATAGATGAATCTAGGATAAAAGGACAAAGTGAGCAATGATTGCATAATTTTCATAAATCCAGAAATTATTTTGATCACAAAGCATCAAAACTTTTAAAGATCTTGCTCAACTTAACTGTAGTCAGAAATCAACATGCTGCTGCTACTGCTATTATTAAATTAAATTTCTTACTGCCACTTAGCTATAAAAGGCTCTCAGGGTGGTTTACAAAATACATTAATGTAATATACAAGATATAATGAAATATAATACAAAACAAGGTACAAGAGTTCAGAACAAAACAAGACATCTACATGAGGCAATAAACAATTTACAGAACTTCTAAGATAGTAATAGCAATACAAAGGAATTAAAATTAGACAATTCATTATCTTCATGTAGCCTACATCTACAAACCACACAACCAACCAGCCAATGGCAAGAGTCTCAAGCCCTAGGAGGCACCAACTGGGCATCAAATGGGCACCAACGCGTGGTGCCCCTTGGCGTCTGCCCTTCAGCCACTTCCCCAGATGGGAAGGTCTTTGGGGAAAAAGGCTAGCATGAAGGGAGGGGCTGCCTGGAGGGGCTGCCCACAAGTGGCCACAGCTGGCGCACTGCTCCACCACTCTCTGCTTGCCCTCCCAGCACTCTGCCAGGTCAGTCCATACCCACCTTCTGTTTCTCATTCCCCTCACCTATTTGGGGGCTGGTTCTTTAAGAAGGGTCTCTGACTCAGATCCTAACAGACAGGTGGGTACATAGGAGAGTAGGCAGTCCTTCAGGTATCCTGGTCCCAAGTCATTCAGGGCTTTATATGCCAACAGAAGCACTTTAATTGGACCTGGACCTCAAATGGTAGCCAATGCAGTTGGTATAAAATTGGCTTAATGTGGGCATGTGGATTTGCTTTTGTCAACAACCACACAGCCCTGATTTGAATCAGTTGGCATTTCTGGACCATCTTCAAAGGAAGCCCATGTATCAACTATAGCTGAAGGAGAGTGCTGCTGACCACTGTGACTCAAGTGATAGTTCTGGGTTCAGGCTACAGTACAATTTCACACATGAAACACTTCATAATCCATTCTGAATACACTAGTCTGGAAGATTTCACATTGCACCCTTGATACTTCTTTTCTAGTTCTGTCCATTTTTTATACTTTGTGAGCAGTAAAATGGTATTAGTTTTACTTAGAGTTTGCTATAACAAAAAAGTGGGATATAAATCTAATAACTAAATAATAAATATTAAACAACTCCACTTCAATGTTTAGTAAAAATGTAAACACACATTTGTTGAATGCATGTCTGGCTATATACAAACAACTGAGTACCAATAACACACCACCACCAGAAAGCAAATATTAACTGCACTCTGGCAGTATGTTACCAGAATCCAATAAGTATTAAAGAGTACAAAAACTGTGTGTGATATGTACACCCACACATTGCGAAACCATCCAGATCTAAGGGCATCTGAGTGGTAAGTATATCTGAGCTTGCACCTCATCTGGAGTTGGTAAGGCTTTTCTTATTTAAAAACGGTACATAACTTCTTGTAGAGGGGAACTTTTGTAATATGAATTTATATATTGTATGATTGGCAAGGTTCCAGACAGTTTTCTTTTCCAAATTACATCCACATGGTATGGTACATATTTTGTTATTTAGTATACAAATGCAGTAAAACAACCATTTAAATAATGATAAAAGTATGAAAGTCCTGAAGGATTCAATAGGGCATTTACTAAGCTGGATTCCTTGAGCAGTTTAATGACAGGATGATCTATTTTTGAAGGTTGGGAAGCAGAGATAGTAATTACCAGGATCACTCCCTTTTTTGTGTTACAGGTTTGGCTAATAAGTAAAACAATTTGCCTAGCGTGATCCATAAACATCACACTATTCAGATGCCAGAACTGTAGAAGCAGCGGTGGGTGGTCGATAGTATGTGATAATTGCTGTGGGATGAGAACAAGATCTCTGTTGCTTATTTTGTTTTCCTATCCTGCTGTACTCAATAGTTCACAACATGTCTAAACTTTTCACATACTGAAGTCTGTAAGAATTTGAAAATCCAGTCTAGGCAAAGGGGGGGGGGGGTGGAATCTAATAACGTGAAACTGTATAAGCAGTTACATCTTGGTGCAGTACTCTTGATTGCAACTGGCAGTAACTGTCCAAGGCCTCCAGCAAAGTTATTTCTATGCTTCACTATTCTAAATCCTTTTTTTTTTTTCATCTGTAGATCCCATACACAGTACCTACTACCCAGTAAGCAAACTCTCTGCACTGCCACTAAGTTAGACAGTCCTACTTCTTCCTGGGATTTCTATTCTCCAGCAGTGTTTTGAAATCACCATTCTAGAAATTAAAATAACTGATGTATTTTTTCCCTTTCAGGACAATCTGAAGCTTCAAGAGACCATGGATTCAGCAGTTTCACTTATCATGGCATTAATAAGGGACAGAAATCCAGCCTTCGTTGGTCAGCTTCTAGTGGCATGAGAAGGAAATATGAAAGTATTTAATCACCAGGCTTCCAGAAACCCTTTACAGTGCAATGCTATTGTCCCCACAGCAGATACTTCTAAGCCTCAAATTTGTAGACTTCTGAGTATGTGATGGGAGGGGTGAGGTGCTGCAGCATTTTATTTTAACAGACATTTTAGATATGGTGCCAAGAAAGGGGAAGGAAGCTGGTCTGCCAGTTGGAATCCATGGCCCCAGCTGCCTTCTCACCCATGGTGCAACCCTTCTCCCCTGAGGTCCAGTTGCAGCCATAGAAGGGCAGAGCAGGAGCTCAGTCTTCAGAGTTCTAGTTCCAAGATTGTAGGATCTCAGAGCTGGGACTTCAGAGAATCCTTTGGCCTCTGACATGGTGTTGGGCGGTCATAGGATTATGCCCTTACTGATGAAAGAACATGCAGTTTCATTAACAACTGCAATTGAAATTTACTGCCAGTCTATTAAGGTTAGCATTTGGATATTTGTGAGAGAGATTTTCTATGACATACAGTAACTATACAGTACAGAAGATTGTTATTTGTTGCCTTTGGGTAGAAAGAATGGATATGAAACAAATCGGGTTGTGCTCTAAAGGGATATAACTATAGTGTGGTTTCAAAGCTGTATGAGCATGATTCAGCTAAACTGAAGTACTTTTGAGTACATTTATTCCAATGTGGAATTTTAAGCATATACATAACACTCTCCTTGAAATAAATAGGACTAACTCTGGAATGTTCTGCATGTTTACTTTGAAATGAGTTCCATTGTAAGTTGCATAGGTTGAATGAGGTTTAGTTAATAAGTGTGTTTATATACAGAAAGAGAGATGAAATACTTTTTCTTATTTTCTCAGTCTAGGAAATAGTTCTTATTGCTGATCAGGTTCCAAAAATACTATCTTCCTTTATTTCTGTAAAAGGGGCTTTTAAAATGAAGTTAATATGTTAATGCTGTCTAATTTTCTGTTTCCACACATAAAAATATGTTATTGCTGCATTATCCTGCATTATCCTTCCCTTTTTTTTGTGAGGAACTCAAGATGGCTCACATAGCTCCATGTTACCCTCACAACAGTCCTCTGAGACAGTTTGGGCTGAATGTTTGTGAATGGCCTAAAGTCATCCAGTGGGTTTCACAGCCAAGTGAGAACTAGAATCCAGATCTCCTGGCTCCCCAGTCCAACCCTTAACCTACCATAGCACACTGACTCTATGGAAGGATCAGCAGAAAAACATCAACACCACCACATACATTTTAAGATTATATGTGCTGAATATTTTGGTAAAATAAGTTCTTTGTGCCTAAAACCTTTCAAATACATATTTCTGAATTAGTTTGTGCATGCCACACATTGGTCAAGTTCACACATCATGACAAGCAATCCTGTGTGGTTTCTACCGTGGGCAATTTTTTGCTGGGATTTGCCTGAAAGACTAACAGGCTCATCAAGGTAATTTTCCTCCTGTTTGTCATTTTCTTGCTTTTCAGTCACACGTGGTATCCCAAGAGGCTCTACAGGGAGCAATAAGGCTCCTCTCTTTGACGGCCATGATCACATGGCTGATCATGGAAAGACAATGGAAAGGCTCATAATAGTGAGATCTAGTAATCCTAGATAGGGAAGTGAGGTTGGCAGCCACACAATATGGCTTCCACAAAAACAGGTCCTGCCAGACAAACCTTGTGGAATTCTATGACAAGGTTTTAAGGTGGCTAGATGGGATGCGGTGGTTGTGGTTTACCTGAATTTCAGTAAGGCCAGAGTGCCACATGATATCCTGGTTGGGAAATTGAGGAGTTTTGGGGTACTCCAAGGAGGAGCAGGTACTCCAGATCCAGAAGGATCTGGACAGACTATGGAAGTGGGTGGGAGATAACAGGATGGTGTTCAATGCAGATAAGTGGAAGGTCTTGCACTTGAGGCATAGGAATGGGTGTCATAAGTACAGGTTAGGGGACAAGTGGCTGGAGAGCAGCTCTTGTGAAAGGGATCTCGGAGACTGGTCATCTGCAGGCTAAACATGAGTCAGCAGTGTGACGCAGCGGCCAACAGGGCAAACGCCACCCTTGGTTGCATAGCCAGAAGTGTGACTTCTAGATCAAGAGAAGTATTACTGCCACTCTATCCTACTCTGGTGCACCCGCAGCTGGAGAACTGTGTTCAGTTCTGGGCTTCACATTACAGGAAGAATATAGCCAGGTTGGAATCAGTGCACTGTAGGGCCTCAAGGATGGTGGCCAGATTGCAGGGAAAGCTGTATGAGGCAAGACCGAGGGAGCTAGGTCTTTTAAACTGGGGAAGAGGAAACTCTAAGGGTGACTGTTGGTGACATACAGGAACATGACAGGGTGCCAGGCAGAGGGGGGTCATGACCTGTTTCCCCTGCCAAGGAAAGCAGGGCGCATTGCAAGAGAGGAAAGCTCGGGACCAAGATTCAATTTGGATTCAATTTGGGTGCCAGGAAGTACTGACAGTTAGGACCCCAAGGATATGGAATGGGCTTCCATGGGATCTCCATCAGTGAGGGTGTTCAAAGTTAGGCTGGATATGCATATGGTAGGCATGTCATGAGTGGAGCCAGCTGGAGCCAGGGGGTCAGACTAGATGGCCCAGGAGGCCCCTTCTGACTTGCTCTGTTTCTATGTTTCTACATGCTGAATATGGCTCCCTATGGTTATCAAGCACTCTGCAAATGGAGACCTGAAGCAGACCAGAGGGGAGAAGGAATTGGTCAGGCATCCTTCCCTCCTGATCCTGAGGAGCTACTCAAGCAAGGGAGGGGTGACCAACCAACACTGAGGCAAAAGGGAGGCAATCAAATGGGTGGTGTTCCAGAAAGGAGCATCCTTCTCCATGAGAGCCTGAGTGAAGCTCCTCCCATGCACAGGCAGCAGGAGCAAGCAAATCCACCCATTATCTTTCTGTGTTTCTCTCCTTGAGAAGAAAAAATGGCAGTTCACTTGGAGGAAAATCCTCTTCTTGAGGGCTTGGATGCAGGCTTCAGTAATATCCAGAGGAAGCAAGTTCAGCAGAAGCACTAACACCTCCATTGAAGAGGTTCTCCACATTTTCATGCATGGAACTGTTCCTTCCACTGAAGTTAATAGGGAAACTTTATGAGAAAGATAACATGCTAGAGTCCTGAGGTAGCAAAGAAAGATCCATACATAAGGCCACACACTATGGAAGCAGAAACTACTGTCGTGAGTGTATCAGTATTTCTTGTAGCCCCACATATAAGCCCATTGCAGATGTTCACATAATCATGAATAGGGGACATGGATATTCATATTGCATCCACCTCCCATTGACCCCAGTCACATGACTGCTGGTTAAATCTTTGCATACTGTGCACAAAGATCTGAATAGAATGTGTAACCTCATGGAGCTGAATATGCTAACAAAGCCCTATTTAGACCTCTTGCTGAACATGAAAAGATCTATGATTGGTGTTGGGTCATACCCATTCACCCATGTCTCCTGTGCAGTTTAGCTTTTATATTGTTACAGGTGAGCTACATGTAAGGCTTTAAAGTATGGTTGACATACCTGAAATGGCATGAATTGGAAAGGCTCTAAACATGGGTTTATTAGAGATGGAAAGGCTTTTTAACACGGATTTATTAAAGATGCTGGTATATCATTTGCACTTTATGCATTAGCTGCAGAATGCATCAGTTGAAGACTGATGCACAGACAGCATTTCAGTTCACCATGTAAGCGATGGAGCTGCTTAACCAAGTGGAAGATTTCTTTAGAACATTATGCTTAGTTACTTCGTACTCCTTATCTAGGAATCTGTTGTTTTCTCTCAGCATTAAGTGTGAATGAAAAAACATGAGTTATGTTTATGTTCTTCTACTAACTGTTTCCACAAAATGCATAAATAAGTATGTGAGGGAAGTAAAACAAATCTGGTTAATGTTTGATAAGCACCAGAGTTTTATATGCTTACAAGGGCATTCATGCACAACCCACATGAAATTGACTTAAGTTATTAGTCATCTCACGTATTCTTTTTGAACATTTGGAGGGAAACAGGTGGTCATATTCTGACACCTTGGTCATATCTTTGGGTGCAGCTTATTCAGTGCAGTTAAGGCACATTATGGCATAACTGACTGCACAATCGCAACATTTGTGTACAGCAAGTTCAATTTTCAAAACAGTTGCTGAGTATTTTTTGACCTTCCTCCAAGCACTATAGCAAATAAATACTCAGAAGTGTAGGCGAAAGAGCCACAAAGGGCTTGTGGGATTTGGCCATATAAATCAAGAGAGAGGGTAAAAGCAAGCAAATGAGATACAAGTGTCTTCCCTAGAGAAGCTGCCATGTCCTTGTTGTTTTTTCTGGTCCTTCCTTGGCTTTGCTGCTGTATAGAGACTAATCTTCAGTTCTTATTTTTTGTTTATGACATGTAAGGTAAAGGTTAAAGGTTTCCCCATGACATTAAAGTCCAGTCATGCCTGACTCTAGGGGGCGGTGCTCATCTCTGTTTCCTAGCCAAGGGAGCCAGCATTTGTCCCCAGACAGTCTCCATGGTCATGTGGCCAGCATGACTAAACACCGAAGTGCACGGAACGCTGTTACCTGCCCACCGAAGTGGTACCTTTTTTATCTACTTGCATTTGCATGCTTTCAAACTGCAAGGTTGGCAGGAGCTGGGACAGAACAACGGGAACTCACTCCATTGTGCAGATTTGAACCGGTGACCTTTCGATCAACCAGCCCAGCAGCACAGTGGTTTAAAACACTGCGCCACCGCATCCCTTTAAGGTAAAGGTTTCCCCATGACATTAAAGTCCAGTCATGTCTGACCCTGGGGGGTGGTGCTCATCTCCGTTTCCTAGCTGAAGGAGCCAACGTTTGTCTGCAGAGAGTCTCCGTGGTCATGTGGCCAGCATGACTAAACACTGAGGTACGCAGAACACTGTTACCTTCCCACCAAAGTGGTACCTATTTATCTACTTGCATGTGTATGCTTTTGAACTGCAAGGTTGGCAGGAGCTGGGATGATGCAATGGGAGCTCACCCCATCATACAAATACAAACTGTTGACCTTTCGATCACCCAGCCCAGCAGCTCAGCCATGCAATTGCAGCTGAGCCTTGGCACCTGGCAGAGAGAGAGCAGTTAAATAGCACAACTGTAGTCAAGGTGCCAAAATGCTGAGGTAGGCACCTCAAATACATGGTAGTATTACTTTTCCAAGTCAAGTATTATTTGCAATCATCATTATACTCATCCTTTGATTCAATAGCATACTTTTACCTGTTATTTTTGCTTGAATATAGATTTTACAACATAGTGACTGAAGCATTAGGCATGAGCATATCTTAAAAACCATTGTTCTCCTTTAGTCACTCTTTTTGCTGTCCCTCTGAAATCGTTTTGTGGCCAGAATCATTTGACTGAGCCAACCAGATAGCACTCTAAATCTATGACATAAATATTTATTTATTAAAACATTTCTATGTCACCCCATTTGCCGAAGCCTCGGGGTGGCTCACAACATAAAGTAAAATACAAAAAATAACAATATAAAAATAACAATATAAAATAAGTAACAATATAAAATAAAATAAGTCGCCCTGGCCAGATAAAATAAGCAAATACTGTTAACAATTAAAATGACGCTTAAATAAAAAGGTCTTCGCCTGGCGCCGAAAAACAAATAACGACGGCACCAGGTGGACCTCTCTGGGGAGCGCATTCCATAGATTGGGCGCCACCGCAGAGAAAGCCCTCCTCCGAGTACCTACCCTCCTAATTTCTTTCACGGAGGGTTCCCGGAGAAGGGCCTCTCCCGCAGATCTCAAGGTGTGGGCGGGCGGGTATGGATGTAAGCGCTCCTTCAGGTAACCAGGACCCAAGCCGTTTAGGGCTTTATAGGTCATCACCAACACGTTGAATT